ATTTTTTTTTTTTTTTTTTTTGTACCGGGGATCGAACTCAGGGCCTCATGCTTGCAAGGCAGGCGCCAGAACCACTGAGCTAAATCCCCAGCCCAACTAGAGGTGATTTAAAACATGTGGGCAAACACTCCCAGGTTATACACAAATGCTGGACCACTTCATTTAAGAGACGGAGACATCTTTGGGCCATGGTAGCCAACAGCTGATTCCAACGTTGCCACTGGGAATTACCATCTTTAAGTATAATATACACTTATGTGAGTATATCTAAAGACTAATTTATTATCATAGTATTATAGAGCTTTGAGGACCAACGCATTTTATATTTGATCAGAAACCACCAAATTGTCTTCCCAACAGGTTACCCTTGTGTCAAGAATAATGTCTCCACATCCCTACTAAAATTAAATGCCACAATCTTTTAACATTTTGCAAATCTAAGTGATGAATGACACTATTTTTTAAATTTCCAATACTTTTCTTACTAATGAGATTAAACATCTCTTTAGGTTTTTGTTATGTTTCTTCTATCCAGTGTTGGTCTGTTCTTCTATGGCCTTGTCTTCTTTTTCTTAATGGTTCATAAGTGTTTTATATGGTACAGTCTGTTGTGCTCATTGTACACATTGTCCTTATATTTACAAAAGTCAACGTCTTTTACTTGTTTATAATGTCCTTGCCTACAGAGGTTTTAAAACATTCACCAAACATACACCATGTAAAGGTACAAGATCCCAATGATGAATGCAACTGCACAGTATACCTAAAATGTACCGATAAATGTAATGAAATAAAAGTCACCAAACTATAAGAACTTCTACTAGATTGCCTTATTCCTAATCATTTAACATTTTAAAATTTCTAATCCTTTAGTAATCACTTTATGTATAATTTAGATAGCAATCTAATTTATTTTTTTTCAAAAAGGGTTAATTTGTCCAGGGTATCATTTTTTTATAGCACAAAAAATTAGATCCAACAGGACCTGGGATTTAGCTCAGTAGCAGTGTACCTGCCTTGCAAGTGCAAGGACCTGAGTTCAATCCTCTGTACTGAAAAAAAATATATAAAAATTAGATCCAACTAAAATACTGAATGATACAGGAACAATTAAATTTATTCTTGAACAATTAAGTGATCTTTTTAAGAATATTTAACCATGTAGGAAAAAGATTTATGCAATTATAAATGAGCTCGATGCAAAACTCTTTAAATACCTCAACTGTGTAGAAAATCTGTCTACACAGGAACGGAAATATATCTGGCAAAATGTTCCAAGTAATATCTCTTTAAGACATTAGAATTCAAGGTGATTGTTCAATTTTCCTGACTTTTCACATTTTCCCCAATGAGCATTCTTCCTTTTATAATCATAGTACAGTTATTAAAAGAAACATGACTTAAACACTGAGAAGGAATAAGGCAGTCGTGGTGAACCTGTGACACATACGTTATTGTTTTTGTTTTAAGAAAAAGACGTTACCAGAGAGTTATTTTTTCTAAACTAAAAGCTTAGCATTCCGGTTTCATTGCAGAGTTGGTGCTTTGCAATAAATAAGTGGGCTTTGGGCACTCGTGTCTAAAAGGTTCGCCACCACTGAAATGAGGAGGACAGACAGAGACGGTGTGGTAAAATGATCATTCTTCCTTACCATTGGGATGAAAAGGAATTGTGACAAATCTCACGGCTGGAGGGACAAAGTTGTAGTCTGGTGTAAAACTTACTGTCACTTCGAAAGCTAACCCTGCGATAGAGAAATAGTCTCACTGCAGCATCCGTTGCACCGATTTGCCGTGATGAAGCCTCCTCTGCCCGCCTCCTCCCGCCTGCTCCGCACCGCCTGAGCGCCCTGCCCTCGCCGGAAGCCGGCCGTCTTGTCCAGGGGCACTTTACACCCTTGAGCTCCCTGCTCCTTCCCAGCCTGCGGCGTCCAGTTCGCAGCGTCCCCTCCTTGGAAGCAGCTCCCAGGCGCGGTGAGCTGCTCACACTCCTGCTGCTTCCCGGTCTGTGCACCGACAGCCGTACACCGCAGGTTGCCTGTCCCCACCTCCCCCGGCAATGTGCCAGCTTCTTCCTGACCGGAAGAACACACAGTCCTGACAGTTTACAGGGGCACAGGCTTCTCGAGAATATGACTTATGGAAATTTGCTGCTGGTGGTGGGGGATTGGAGAGGGAAAAATTGGAAGTGACTGCAAAATTTTGAAGCCAAAAAGAAGCCCACAGGGACGCTCTGATTTCAGGGAAGACTGTCCGAAGACGTGCTCAGGGGATACGCTTTACTTTGTTTTCTTAAAAATGAATAGCATCGTAATAACCTTTTTCCCTGGATTTCGATCCTCAACACTGCAAACAACAACAACAACAACATCAACAAAAACCCAAAACCACAACAAAACAAATTTAAAAAATTAAGATTTGGCATCAAGGAAAACACCCACTAATAATTTCAGTCTACGCTGACAAGTGGCAAGAAAAGCCAGACGATGAAATATAACATAAATACCTCTAGAATTCTCAGACTTGATAGCACGCAACCTTATGCACGAAAAGCATTCCAGAAACGTATAAAATGCAACAGAAGTATACATGTTAAGAAAGTGGGCCATTGGTAGAAATTGTTTTAAAAACAGGCTGGTTTTGAAAATACAAACCCTGCCAGACTGAATTCTGTAGACCTGCAATGTTAGCCTTCCATTCCATCATATCTTCACTTACAGGAAAGGCCGTAATACCCTGGAATGAAAAGCAAAATTAGACAAAAAGATCATTTACTGTTTTGAATGTCAGACACCAGGTTACATTGAATCCCCAAACCTAAATGTTTTCTCTTGATACATATACGTATTTATTGACCAATGGAGGTGTTATATGTCTTACTGCATAGAAGTTAAGGTTGATTCCACACATAATGGTAAATTTAAAACATAGAAATAACACATGGAAATAAAGGATCAAGACTGGGATGTGTGGCTTATACAACCTCTGGTATCTCAGTGGCCAAATTAAGATTCAAATTGGGAAAGGAGATAGTTGGAAGGTGTATGTTTTCTCAAAGCTTTCAAAGACTATTTGCATGCTATATGGAAGGCATGAAGTAGGAACATTGTCTTTTTCTTTCTGTCTGGTTTTTCTTGTTGCTAAGACAAAATACCTGATGCCCCAAGTTAAAGGAGGAAAGATTTATTTGGCTCACAGTCTGTAGACGTTTCAGTTCATAGTTGGCTGGCTCCAAGGCAGGGTGGCGTGACAGAGGAGCATCACAGAGGAGAAAGAGTTCATGGCAGGAAGAAGGCAGCAAAAGCAAGCCAGCAAAAAAACTACAAGTAACTGGCAGCAAGCCTCTTTCTGTTCCTAATACTGTACCCAGGCCACCTGTCCTTGGTGGGGGGCAGCACTCACACCCTTAACCCTAGCACCCTTGGGCCTAGCACTGCACCATGAGTCAGTCACACACTCTGGATCCATCCATCTCTGAAAAGGCCCCACCTGGGACTGCAGAGGCTTGGGGGGCATCTAGACACAAATCATAATTTCTCTTTCTCTCTCTCTTTCTTTCTTTCCTTTCTTTTCTTCTAAGGACTGAGCCCAGGGCCTTCTAACTGAGCTACATCCTCAACCTATTTTTATTTTTTATTTTGAGACAAGTTCTTGTTAAGTCACTAAACTGCCCAGGTCGGGTTCAAACCTTCCATCCTCCTGCCTCAACCTCCCACAGTGCTGGGATTCTAGGTGTTCTCCACCCTGCCCAGCTAGAGACATTCTCTTTAGGAAAAAATTCTAAAATCACAAGTTGCATATAAAAATAAAAATTTCCTATTGAGTGAGGTACTGGTCCAATGGAGAGACAAGAATTATTTCATTAATTATACGGAAATAATCCAATAAACATTTCTGCCCAGACACAGTTATTAAGAATACCAAGTCCTTGCCTGTATAAATATTTTGTCTCCTATCTACATGATCTATATTTATATGTCCTTCACTGAATTCTCTTTCACCAGAGAACTACAGAGTTCAGAATGCACAAAAACATTGTATCAAATGTTAGGTCCATGCCTCTGGGCTGTTTGTTGGCCAACTCGGCCTAGCGTCTCCAGCGAGCCGTTCCCCAGCCCAGTTTTTACACTTTCACAGCAGGACTGAGACAGAGCCGCGCCCCTGAACTGCCGCCGACAGACAGCGCGGCTGTGAGCAGCGCTGGCTTGGCCCCTTTGGTCTATGGAGCGCTTCGTTTTCACACTTTTTCTTGAGCACAACCCCTTCCTTCCTCCGTTTGCATTCTCCACAAACACCAGTACCTTAACTGGAGGCACTAGGGGCCAAGGTTTTATCTTCCTCTGGGCTGCACTAACAAGGGAAGGCAACGATGTGTTGTGCCGGTAAAAATGCGCAGGGCAACAAGGAGCAGAACACAAAAATCAAGAACAAAGGGTTTGGATTCAGAAACCCTGCAATGGGATCCTGCGTCCAGGATTCTTTCCTGAATCTTTCTGAGCCCTAGGTTTCTGGCAGGGGACGTGAAACATACTTATCTTGTAGTGCTATAATTAATGAGCACGGCCTGCGCCTACTCCTCTCTATTTGACCCCAACACTCACTCAGACGCACAGTTTGTTGTTCACTCAGCACGATGTACCCTATACTTTTAGCCATTTTTATTTCAAAGTAATAGTGACTGTTACTATGAAATAGATCTGTTAAATAATACTATCCCGGCACATTGGCCCTAATTAAATCATGATTTATAGAATAAACATGGATCGTGTTTCTTGACAATCACGGCCCAGTGAGACACCCGCCTCCCAGGACTCACCTCGTAACCTTTCTCCATCAACTCTCTGAAGTCTCTCTGAAGCAAGAGGCAGGCTCGGCCCAGCATGGTCGGGCAGCCCCACACTCCTCAGGGTCACTGTGAGCCGCGCAGCCGAGGCTCGGGGTGCCCCTCCCATACACTAATAGAAGCCGCCTGCTTTCTGGAGCCCAGGCCGCTCCGGGATAAGCAGCTTCTAGGTCTGAAAGAGCACAGTGACCTTCTTCTCTCCTCTGCCTCCTCTGCATGAGGACTTCCAGAAGGGAAATTGAGGCCCTTCGCATGTGCGGCGCGTCCCGCGGGACAAACGTGATGAGCCCCTGGTGAACGAACCCCTTGTGGTCGCGTGTGAAGAGAGGGCGAGACGTGCACGCGTAAGGCCGTGCTAGCAAGCTGTCCTTTCCGCTTTCCGGTGGGTGAGCGCTGCTGGACAACGCCAATCGGTTGCCAAGCAACAGGGCCGCAGGAGCCTTAGAAAGGGGGCGGGAGCTTGGCCTCCTGACATCCAATCAGCGATGGGGCGCCGGCCTCTGGGCGTCGCTGCAGCCAATTGATGAACATCTTCGCGCTGAAAGGCAAGTGAGGTCTGTGGTTCCCAGGAACACTGCCCTCACTTTCACTCCTTGGAAGGCCTTGCGGTTTATGAGGTCAAAGCCCCACACCTGCCTTGCGAGGATGCTCCAGGGACAGGCCTGCCTGAAACTCCTCACCTGAAGCTCTGCTTTTGCTCTGATCCTTCCCCTCATCCCCTCGGCTCCTTCACTCCTCCTGAAGACCCAGGGCTCTGTAAAGTCTCCCGAGGCAAAATCAGGCCTCTCTGTTTGTGACCCGTCGGCCCCCTTGCCTCCCGGTGAGCATCTATCTCTCTACTTTCCTCTCCACCAAATCTCCCAACTGCTCGAAGGCCCTGCTGGGCCGTGGATGGGCCGCACGGCCTGGCGTCTGGGCTCGGAGGGGCATCATCGGTGACCAGTGCACTCACTCCACGAATACTTGCTGAGCACTTATTTCACATGCTGTGAACAAAGGAAACGAAGTCGCTCCAACAGACAGCAAGCAAGCGCAGCGGTCCTTATGGGGCCTACAGTTAGACGCAACCAGCGGTAGGGTGAAAATGCTCAGAAAAGGAACGTGACGTCTACACTGAGTACGTGCAGACTTTCTGTTGACATTGTCCCCTAAAGGATACAGTGTGACAACTATTTGAGTAGCGCTTCTATTGTATTAAATATTGTAAGTAATCTAGAGATGATGTCAGTATATCGGATACTGGGGATGGTCGTAAATAAACCACAGGTATAGGAAAGAGAAACCATGGTTTCAGACTGTGATGAATGCTACGCAGACACTGCATAGAGTAACTCAGGGTTAGAAATAATGGCCAGGTCAGGCCTCTGTAGAGAGTGGAGCTTTGAACTCATGTGAAAGGGAGTGGTCTAATACACGAAATATTGAGAGCACAGAGATCTGGGAAGAGGGAAGCAGGACAGTTCGAAATCAGGAGGGAGCTTGTCTTGAAAAGGGAAACAGGGCAGCCACGGGAAAGAAAGGACAGCGGTGGGTAGAGAAAAACAAAGTAGGAAGTTTGGGCTTTACTGGAATAACGATGGGGATTCAGTGGATGGTTTGAGCACAGGAATGTTAAGCTCTGTCTGATTTACACTCACCAAAATCCTCTGGCTGCTCTGTGGAGAAAGAATCAAGGGAGAGGGACCAAGGGGAAGGTATCCGTGGTGAATCTCAAGTCCAGGTGGAGCAGCTTAGAGATTCCCAACAACATTTTAACTTTGCTAAAACTTTGTTTTGTAGCAACAAATCCCCACCTGCAGACCTCCCGCCCTCTGCCTGGTGGTGAGCGGCAAGATCTCTCAAGACACACCTGGTTCTGTGCAGCCAACCTGGGTCTCGTTAGCCTGTACAGCCCCGAAGAGGTTGCCTCACTTCTTAGACCTGACTTTTTTATCTGATAGATGGGCCGGTGACAGTACCTGCAGGCTTATGGGGAGGATTAAAAGAAATAATGCCTGCTCAGGGTTTGTTTAGTCACTGCCTGGTGTGGGTGACAAATAAAACTGTTCCAGTGTTCTAAGTCGTCCATCAAAATTAATTCCATCCTCAAAAACAACTCAGCTGGGTGTGACAACACACACCTATGACCCCAGAACTTGGGAGGCTGAGGCAGCAGGATTGTTGCAAGTTCCAGGAATATGCACTATACCCTTATGTAGTATAAGTGTATGATCCTATACTTAGAAGATCCTAAAGACTCCACCGAAAGCCTTGTGGAGCTGATGAATAAACTCAGCAAAGGAGCAGGATATAAAATCAACACTAGAAATCAATGGCTTTTTCATAGAGCAGAAATGGAGTAGCTAAGAAAGAAAACAGGAAAACAATTTCACACAATTTCAAATAGCTTAAAGCCATTTAACCAAGGAGGGATCAATCTCTTCATGGAGGTAAAAGACCTCTACAAAAAAAATTTTAGGATACTGAATAAAGAAAATTGAAAAAGATTCTTGAAAATGGAAAGACCTCCCATGTTCATAGATTGGCAAAATTAATATTAAAATGGCCATGTTAAGGCTGGGCATAGTCATGCACGCTTGTAATCCTAGCACTTGGGAGGCTGAGGCAGGAGGATCACCATGAGTTCAAGGCCAGCCTGGGTTACACAGTGAGTTCATTGCTTGCCTGGACTACATAGCAAGACCCTATCTCAAAACAAATAAACAAACAAAAAAGATGGCCATATTACCAAAGGCAATCTATGATTTCAATGCAATCCCCATCAAAATAACAATGACAGAACTGGAAAAAATATAATCCTAAAATTCATATGGAAACACAAAAAGCCAAAGCAATCCTAAGGGGGTGGCGGAAAGCAAGATTCGCAGCATCACAATACTCAACTTCAACTCACAAAGCCGTACCAACAGGAGGACCACAGCACTATGGAGCTGTCCACGAAAGGGGTCCACATCAGCACAGCACAGGGATAGAGATCTCATACCCAGGTTCACTGTAACACAACTCTAGTGGCCAAGAGGTGGAACCAGCGCAGGGTGCAGCATGGCCTGAGGGCGCTGTGGTTTGTCCCCCCAAAGCCTCATGGGCTCGGAGATAGGGTTTGGGGAAGGCGGCTGAGCCATGGGGCAGCCCCGCGGATTTGCTCCTAGGGGTGGAAAGAGGGGTCACGGGGCAGCCTGGAAGGGTTCATCTCCCTCCCCAGCCCCCTATCTCTGCTTCCCGCCCACCATGACTTGAGCAGCTGACCTCCGCCAGACCCCCCACCCTCTTCCTGCTACTTCGGGGCCAGCTGACTTCGCTTGGGATCAATTTAACCTGGGCACCAGATGAACCTCCCTCCTCTAAGCTGTGGGTGTCAGCTATTTTGTACCAGTGACAAAAAAGTAACTAAGACAAAGGGAAAAAGAAAATGTAGTATATGTACACACAATATAGAATTATTTAGCCACTAAAAAGAAAAAAAAGCATTGTCATCTGAAGAAAATGGGATGCAGGTAGAAAACATCGTGTTGGGAAAAATAAGCCAGACTCAGTGATAAATGCCCCATGTTCTCCACAAATGTTGTCTCCAAAAGGGATGACAGGAAAGAAAGGGCAGGAGAGAGGGGACAGAAGGTGTACGGATGTGTGATGGGCAGGTGGATTTGAACAAAACTACGTGACTCAAACCCCCAAAGCCTGGAACCGGGAGGGCAGTGGGGCAGCAGGCGATGACGGGAGGGAAATGATTAAAGGGTGACACATGCATGTGCAAATCTGCCAGAAAGGCATAGAGATAATATTTAAAAAGTGTTACATATAATTTACTGTCTATGTTTATATACAAATCAAAAATAAAGAATACACGAGGTTAAAAACCATTGCCGCGCACCCTAAGTATGCCTCCCGTCGCCTCTGTCAGATGATATGTTTATTAACTGCCACTGGCTTGTGCAAATTATCAATGTACACTACCCATACGTCCCTCAAAGATACCAACTAGTAAATACTCTTTCTGTATCAACTTCTGGTATTTCTGTACTTTCCAGTGAGAGTAGATTTACTTAAATCCTTGTCTTTGTCCCTTTCTCATTACTAGGACCGAACACCTGACACTCAGAGGAGGGAGATTTATTTTGGTTCACAGGTTCTAGAGGTTCATTCCATGGTTAACTGATTTCGAGGCAGGAAGGCATGGCGGAAGGGCCTTGTGGGGGGCAGAGCTGCTCAGCTCAGGGAGGAGCTGGAGAGAGAGGTAAGCCCTTCCAGGTCACACCCTCAATGGCGGCCTCTTTTGATCAGGCCCCGCCTCCCAAGAGCAGGGCAGCTGTGGCACTCCCATGATCCAGTTGCTTTAAACCACAAAGATCCCATTACTTCTTTGGACTTCTGTAGCCCTTGCATAACCCCAGGAGTGTGAATATGATGTGGTTTGTCCCTGTGGTTAAGTTAGATGGAGCATTTGCCTTTGAGGTTTTCCAGGGTGAGCCTGACCTAACCAGGTAGCCCATCAGTGGTACTGCGCTCTTCCTGCAGTCGGTGATTCCAAGTGTAGGAGCAACTCCAGGTGAGAGAGATTCCCTGCTGTTGCCTTGAAAGTGAAAGGGTTGCACAGTAAAGAACAAGGAGAGCTTCTAGGATCTCAGAGTGGGCCTGGGGTGGACAGCAACAAGAAATCAGAGCCAGAGTGCCACATTTACAAAGAACCAAGTCCTGTCACAATCACATAAGCTTGCAATGGGACCCAGATTCCCAATCTGAACAGCCAGCTCTTTGTGAGAGCCCAGCGGAGAATCCAGTCAAGCCACACCTGCTACATTGGTGGACAGCCTGAAGGTCCCTTGTCTGAAATGCTCTGGACCAGAAATGTTTCAGAGTTTGGAATATTTACATAGACTTGCTGGTTGAGCACCCCTGATCCAAAATTCCAAAATCCAAAGTGCTCCAAAATCTGAAACTGTGTGAGCCTCAGGTTGGTACTCAAGATGTTTCAGAGTTTGGGGCATTTTGGAATTAAGAATTTCGGATTAGGGACATTCAGCTGTATTTTGTTGTGTAGAAGTGGATAACCACACAACTTCTTATCCAGAGAGCAGAGTTACCTGAGGTGGTTTAACCTGATCATACCAGCATAGGACCTGAGACCAGGTTTGGGATCATGGTGAGTATGGTATCTCTACCCCCAAAGACCAAACGCTCACAGGCTCACATGCAAATTTTCATTGCCTGAGGCGAGCAAAGCAAGGGACAATGTCTCCACTCCGTCTGTGATGCTACGGTTGTCTCTGGATTTACAACCAGCACTTTTTAGAAAGAGTTCTTTCCCTAGGACTCAGACAGCTGTTTTGTTTCACTCAAACTGGAGGACTGCGTTCCTCATATACCAAGACAAAGTGCTAACCTTGTTTGGATTTGAACCCCCACCCGCACGAGCAACAGGAGGCAGAGGGCGGCCCAGGTCGGCTCAGCTGTGAGAAGGGCTTTAAATCACATTTTGGCATTTGTTACACTGTTAACTAGAAAGCGTAGCGCAGCACACATGCTCCTAGTAACTCTGCTTCCAAATCGTATGATCTCCCCTCTGTCTCAGAGAGCTTTTGATGTGTGTTCCCAATATTGAGTTTCTCTGCTTTTAATAATGTTATATTCCTTCCTCAATATAAATGTCATGAGAATACTGAATGCTAATCTTCAAAGATCAAACGGGGAGAAAGAGGTGGGCAGCCTGGTCCAGCGACTTGAATTCCTGACATTTCTCTTTGAAAACACTGATGTTTTACTTATATAAGCCTTGGCTCAAGAAGCTGGCTCTGCTATTTAAAGTGGAAACTGTCCACTCCCGTACATTTCAGGAAGGGGTTAATTACAAAATAATTAGTTCTCTGCCTGCAGGGCCCTGAGATGCAGAGGCCACAGGATCCATACTGCTTTCTACATTCGTGTCACCAGACAGAGGTCCTGGGAATCAATGGTGGCTGCTGTTCTGTCCCTTCCCTGCTGCAGCTGGGGTGATCCGCAGCCCTGGAGTGCCAGGGGCACAGGACATTTCAGGGTTGAAACTGGGATAACCTTCCCCAGCTGTCCCCTCTGTCACTTTAGCTTGGGCATCAAGGACCTTTTTGGGGACTTGCGTGATCACTTGGTAAGGCCTGTTTCCCTGGTTGAAGGCATCTGATTTGTTTTCTCTGGCAGGCAGGGGCCTGGTTCTCTTCATGGATGAATGAAAAGTGTCATTCTGAGCACCTCCTTATCCTAAGTTCCCATGGGTAACAAGGAGTGGAGGGGAAGTTAAAATCTCAACAACCTGATATTAGGGCCTTTCCTTTAAAGAAAATGTTTCTAAAGCCAGCCATGGTGGTGCAGGCTTCTAATCCCAGCACTTTGGGAGGTTGAGGCAGGAGGAGCATAAGTTCCAGCCCAGCTGTGGGCAACTTAGCGAGACCCTGCCTCAAAATAAAAAATTTTGGGCTAGAGATGTAGCTCAGCGTAAAGGTACTGGGGTCAATCCCTAGTAGTTTTTTAAAAGGAAGAATAAATACTAATTATCATTATTTTCTGTGCTGGGGCCTGATCTCAGAGCCTCAAGCACACCACGGAATCCTGCCCGCAGTCGGGAGCCCAGCCTGCATCCCATGGAGAAAGGAATGGAGGCTCCGGGCCTGACCCACCGCGCAGGTGCTGGACAGTGCAAGGGCAGCGGGCCCACTGCCCTCCTCTCCCAGTTCCGGGAAGGCGGGATCCCGAGGACAGGGCTGGATGCCAGGCCCGAGGAATCTGTAGGAGTATTTTACTGTTTTATTTCAGTGGTGAAACAGATTGCGTGTGTGAGCACGAGTGTGGATTCACGGCCGGAGCCCAGGTCCGTGAAGACCAAGCCCGTCTCCCTTGGGACTGAGGATCCGGCTACTTGCGTCTCAGCAGGTGCGGGATCAACCTTCTCAACAGCCTGAGCCCAGCCCCTCTCGTTTTGAAGGCAGGGCATCTCCTCAACTCTGCGGCTCCTTCAGTAAGGCTCGCTCTTTGCCAGCCCTGTGGCCCGTGTCTCGGTCCTCTTCTGGGAGTCGGTGACCCCTGGGTGACTGGGGACTGGGCTGATCCTACGTCCACCCACAGACCCAGCGGGTGCCTCTGGGCACTGAGCCGGCCAGGTGGACCCAGCGGCACCCTGGCCTGGACCAGGAGCCCTCTCACGGTCGTGAGGCTCCCTCCCCTGGGCTAACAGTGTCCTAGGCTTCTGGCATCCGTGGTAAGGAATGAATTTAGGTTAACTAGAAAAACACCCCACCTTTGTCCTGCGCAGTTCCTTTCTCCTCTGCCGCTGTAATTGCTTCCTCCTTGCCATGCGAGCTGCTGGTTGAAAACAAACACTCTATAAATCCACAGGAGCATGAGCTTCACCCCTGGGGCCGGCCTCCCCCAGCCTCGGGGCCTGCACAGAGAGCTCACAGCCACCTGGGGACTGACAGGCTGCAGCTGCCCGGGACAGCAGCCCACAACGCAGGTGAGGCATCTGCCCATGGGTCCAGTGCCACAGCGCAGAGTGGGAGGAAGGCCCGCAGCTGCCCCCACTCCATGCTGTTTGCGGGCAAGGAAGTCCTGCTGCTCCCTGTGGGTGTCCCTGGCCCTGGGAAAGGCCAACAGGGAGGCGCATGCTCTCTGCTTTGCTAACTGTCAGTCTGAGTCAAAAAAGCTGTACTAAGGAGCCAGCTCTGGGTGTGGTGTGCACCTCTGTAATCCCAGGCCTGGGAGGCTGAGGAAGGATGATCCTGATTTCAAGGCCAGCCTAGACTACAAAGCAAGATCCTGTCTCAGAAAACAAACAAACACTACTGCTTTGAGCTTTTTCTTATAAAGGGAAAAGCTTTCAGCCAATGTCCAAGAATGTGGATCTTGGATAAACTAGAAGAGATGGGAGAAGAGGTGTATTCTTGATTAAGGCTAGTCCAGTTGGTCTGTTCCCACAGCCTGTGCTGTTTTCTGTTCAAGCAAACAATCACAGGAAAATATAACCAAAGTCAAACATGCTGTTTTTAGTGCCAGTATTTAAGTAAAACTTCATTTTCTTTATGGAGAATAAAGCGGCTTATATGTTATTAAATGCTTATATGTGTACTAAATTATTAAGGATATGATCACTCATCTCCACTTTATGCCTTTAAATTAGGTTGTGTATTACTTTTCCTGTTGCTGGGACAAAATACTTGACACCTGCTACTTTAAGGAGAAGTTTATCTGGCTCATGGCCTCCGAAGGTTCAGCCCATGATCTGTGGCTCCAGGGCAGAAACAACATGGTGGAAGGGGCCTGGAGGAGGACAGCTGCTCACACCATGGCAGTCAGGGAGCAGAGCAGAGAAGGGAGGAGCCAGAGTAAGAGATCCACCCTCCAAAGCACTGATGAATACAGTGCCCCCGGGATCCAAACTCTACCTCTGAACACCAGACTTTGCAGGGGACATTTTTTTTTTTTTCTTTTTGGTACCGGGGATTGAACTCAGGTCCTTGCAGGCAGTGGAACCTCTGAGCTAAATCCCTGGTCCAGCACAGGTCACTTTAGATCTAAGTCATAACAGATAGGTTCTGTGGTTCCTAATATTTAGAATACGTTGGAGTCATCAGGAGGGTTATAAAAACAGATTTCTGGGTGTGACCTATTGAATTTCTGCTTTGAGGTGATGCTGGATTATTTGCATTTCTAGTGAGCTCCTGGGTGGTGCTGCTGGACCCCATTTTAAGAAATCCCAAGATAGGACCCATCTCTGAAGGTGTATAGATAGCAGAACTCCTTATTCACTACCTACAGAGGGTGCAGATGTGGGGGACCGAGGAAAGAAGGGAACCAAGGGACTCAGAAGTGGATTGGAGACGGCTGGAGGGTCAGAGGCTGGAGAGACATAAGAAGGAAACGGGAGCGAAGGGCTTATGGAGGGAGAGGAGAGCCCCAGCCCGGCGTGGGGCTCTTTATTGAGTTAGACCTTGAGGCAGTGGCAGGCGGCATACCTAAAACAGATGGGCAAGGCTCTGAAGGTTTTATTGTGCTCCCCTCCGTATGAAACAGCAGCGATGGACGAGCTCTTTGAAGCTTCATAATGATACTCGTTTTCCTTGGAAGTGTATATTAATCACCAGATGGGAAACTTTTGGGTAAGGAAGATCATAAAGATAAGCTGTGGCAATGGAACAGCCACATTTCTTTTATCAATATGGTTGGGCTCTAAGTTGGACAGGCTTTTCTTCTTTAGAGTCTTAAAACATGAGTTTTGATGTCTAAGTCTGTCGGCAAACCTCAAGGCGGAAAAGGTTGAGACTCTATTCTCATTTTCAAATTCCTACATTCTGTTGGTTGTAACCATTCAATATATTAGACTGATTTTAAAAATTCACAACTTGCCATATATAGGTAGGTAGTACTTGGCTATGAAATCACTGGGGTGCTCCCTTCCATGTGTGGTCATTAGCAAAAGAATGCTATTTTGTTTTTGAAGCGCTGCGGATCGAACCCAGGGCCTCAGCTGTGCTAAGAGGCAGTCTACCACCATGCTACTTGCTGAGCCCTAAACCCATTTTAAAAGCCTACACAGAAAAATCATTTCAGTGAAGTAAGAGTGAATAGGAATTGTGATTACTCTTTTTATAACATGTCAATCATTAGGAGAAATAATATTAAAATTCCTAAATACTTGTATGAGAGCAATATTCAGGAAATAATACTGTATAGTAAACATTCTAAACAGCACATAAAATAATCAGTGTTTAATATCATCTCTTGTGTATGAAATACAAATGCATATATCCTCAATATAAAATAACCTTTGTGTCATTACAATTCCATGCTTCTCTACGTGAAAGGCCCATAATAACAAATCAAAATTAAGTAATATAGCGATTAAGAGCATGCAGTGAAAATAAAGGTAAGATATGGCAAGGTGAGATATCTGATTGCTGCCATTATATACTTGAAGAAAATCTATACTGGATCAAGAACAAAGGAAACAAGGAAACAGACCAGAGATAAAAATGCAGAGATATATTTTCATTTCTGTGATACAAACCATAAACATAGTTTTGTGCAAAAAAAGAATCTGAAAAATAAAGTCATCTTACAAAACATTGTCAACAAGGCAAAAGATATTTTTTTCAGTCTGTGGAAAAAATACTATTTAATACAAAGAGACTGTGTTTTTCAGTATCACAGTGCTGTTAGAAAATACATTATTACAAGTGGTTTTGAAATTTAGTTTGCTTACCTTAATGATTTCAGTTATTACAAAGTGTTTAAAAAAGTTATAGTTCTTTATTTAAAAACTAACTTGAATTTACTTTTAACCATGAGAATGTTTTTCAGAGAAGTATTTTACTGGCTCACGGAATGCTAATTTCCCTTTAAGGGATGCTCAGATTCACTAAAGCTGTTTACTTAAAAATAATAAATATTCTTGGAAAATGATAGATTGTCGTATGATAAAATTATGGTTTGGAGCTTCATCATTAAACAGTTGCATAGCAACAAAAGGATTCAAATATTCTCCTTTACCTAAAGTTAAAAAATGTAACCTCTGACTATCAGTGTATCTTCCAGTAAATCTGAACGCAGCCAATTCTTCTGAGTTCACTACCTACAAGTTCATGCTTGTTGTCTGAAGACTCAGGCTGGGGAAAGTTGCAACACATTTTGGTAAACAGACTGCCTTGAATTTTCATGTTAATTGTATTTTTAAAAACTGGAAACATGAAGGGGTTTCCCATGATCTTACATTCTGCTCACAAGATACCATATCCAGGAATTACTGTGGATCCTGTCTCTTCCTCTCTTACAGCTTTAAAGTAAAAATGAGACCAGGAGACATTGTTTTTAGAATAAAGGAGCTGTTGTTTTTAACAGGACAAACATCAAATATAAAATTCCTTTCTATATAGAACTTGAAGGCCATGAGAATTCTAAACTTGGCCCAGAGAGGCAGCAGGCAGATGCCAGGAGAGGCACATTCGGTACCTCCCTCGGGCAAAGGTGGAAAGGATCGTGTTGCTTGTTTACCGGCCCAAAGAATTCAGCTCTCGGTAGTCTTTGAAATGAGAACCCAGGTGTTGTTTGGTAGAATGACTGTAATGTTTTGTGAGACAGGGCATACTGTCGTTGGACAACTAACTACGAATAAATCGTTATGAATTGGGGGGTTGGAATAAAATCTGTGAACATTTCTAGCACAGATAAAAAGTGAGGCTGTTTCCTGGTTATTGGTGCCCTCCCTGGCACCCTGTCTGGGGACAGTGACTGATGCCAGGGACCCTTGGGCCCTTGCCGGTGGCTGCAGATATGCTGCTCTGGTATGCAGCCGCACCTCCCCGTCAATGTTACTGCTCTGGGGAGGCACCTGCAAAGTCCCCTGGAGACTCCTGTCCCTGCCCTTGCCCCAGGGCTGCTGATCTCGGCTCAGGGACCTGTTTCCAGACTGTGCTTCCTTTGCTGCCTCAGTGAGGTGAACAGTCGATCGACAATCACTTCCAGCAGCCACCTCAAGCCTGCTTTGGGTCCTGTGCCCTGTATAACGGGAGGGCTCATGTAAACACAGTGACAAGGGACAGTGTGGGAGAGGCTTCACGAGCAGAAGAGGAGGTCTCCACAGAGGCACACAGGGCACCCCCAGAAGCCCCCACACAGGCGCTCCAGGGCACTTGCGCTATGGCTCACTTCCATCCTGGACTGTGAACTTGGTTTACCAACTCCTTGTGGCTTCTGAACATCTTTTCTGTACAGACACTGCAGAGTCTGAATCGAATCAGTATCATTCCCGAACTCTCGTCCTGGAGGAGGGACAGCAGGCAGACCGGGCTACGGTATACACATTTCAGGGAGAGCCCGGGCATGGCCAGGCACACACAGCACCGTGGACTTTCCTTTTTGGGTTGACGCTTCCTCACAGGGTTCGCCTCTTGGCTGGTTCAGTTTTCGGCACTGGAGACCAATCGTGGATCCCAGCCGGTGTCTTCCTGGCTGGTGCCCATTTTGCCGGGTAAGACACAGCTAAACTTCACAGAAGATACTTGTTGCAACGTCTGCTAAATGAGAGCCCTACTCAATAAAAACATTTGAATAGAAATCTTTTCTCCAGCTTCCTAGCTCGTCCCGCATACCACATTTACAAGAAGGTGCACCCTTTACAGTTCTGCGGAAATCATAGACTCGCTGTGCCCGTGAACGCCGGGGTCTCCCAGCAGAGAGGGCTGCTTGGAGTCTACCTTGTAGGGTTTCTGGGATTTGCTGCCGAACACCGCGAGGCCCATCCCGCCGGGGTGGCTGGGCAGGGACAGGTGCGGCAGGAGCGGGATGTTGGCTTCCTGGTTGGACCCCGAGGAGGGCAGGCTGGTCACGTGGCCCGTGCTGGTGGAGCCGCTGGCGCTGCTCGGGGAGCGGCTCTTGGGAGGGGGGCAGTGCTGGATCCCCCTGGGGGGCCCCGTGGGCTGGTAGTGGGCGGCCGGGAAGGCCGCGTACCCCGGAGGTATCGGGTACCCGTTGATGGGGATGAAGCGCTGGTTCTGAGGTATTGGGGGGCCGATGAAGCCCGTGATCTGGCCCTGCGCGGGGAGGCCCTGGCTCGGGAACATGTAGCCGGGGAACCTGGGGTTGCTGAGATTGCTCACCGGGCTGGCGCTGAGGGAGGTGGTCTGCGTGGTGGCGTTGCCCCCCGAGGGCGTGGTGGAGCTGGTGTGGCTGGACAGCCCCTCCCAGGAGCGCAGGCGCACGTGGATGTCCTTGAACCGGGGCCTCCGGGAGGGGACCTCGTTCCAGCACTCGGTCATGAGGCTGTACATGCGGGGCGGGCAGTCCTCGGAGCACGGCAGCAGCTGCCGCTTCCGCACCATCTCGATCACTTCCTGGTTGCTGAACCCGTAGTAGGGCTGGAGTCCGAAGCTGAAAATCTCCCACAGCACTACGCCGAAGGACCAGATGTCGGAGTCGGAGGAGAACTTGCCGTACACGATGGCCTCGGGGGGCATCCAGCGGATGGGCAGCAGCGCCTTGCTCTGCACCCGGTAGTAGTCGGCGGAGTAGATCTCGCGGGACAGCCCGAGGTCCGAGATCTTGACGTGCAGCTGCTCGCCCATGAGGACGTTGCGGGCCGCCAGGTCCTTGTGCACGAAGAAGCGGCCCGACAGGTACTCCATGCCCGCAGCAATCTGCACGGCGATGTGCAGGAAGTCGCCGTGGTCCAGGCTGGACCGCACCGTGCCGTCCTCGTCGCTGCTGCAGCCCACGTCGGAGTGCGGGGAGCGCATGATGAGGAACTCGCGCAGGTCGCCCTGGTTGAGGAACTCGAAGAGCAGGCACACCGGCTGCTCCTGCGTGACGGCGCCCAGCAGGCACACGACGTTGGGATGCTGCAGCTCGGCCAGCAGCGAGGCCTCCTGCTGGAACTCGGCCCACTGCTGCGGGCTGTTGCAGTCCTTCAGGGTCTTGATGGCCACCAGCTGGGCGTGGTCCATGCCCGGGAGGTAGAGGTGGCCCTTGTACACCTTCCCCACGGCGCACTCGCCCAGCTCCTCCATGAACCGCACCGCGGACAGCGGCAGCTCTTTGGCCTTGCTCTGGAGGGAGGGAGGAAGGGGGGAAGGGAAAACGTGGGTTAAAACATTCCCTGTCAAGACCCCTCGGCGGCGTCCGCAAGGAGGGGAGCCCGCAGGAAGAGGCTACAAAAGATCACAAACGTGTGCTGAGGCTAATGGTGATAGATTTCTTTAAATTTTCAGCAAAGTAAATCTGAGCGATCATTACAGTTTTGTTTGTAGTAGCAAAAGGTTAGAATTAATCTAAATGTGCCCTAGAGGAAGCTGATTAAATAGATTATTTGTTGCCGTAGAAAGTTCTTTGGTCCTACTGCTCCCTCGAAGATAAAAAGCGAAAGAACAGTTAATGCTGAGTGCTGCCCTTGTGTAAAAGGAGACAACTACCGCGCGTATTTCTGTTTCCTTGCATAGGCACAGAATCAGGCCGCAGGAGAAGCCGTGGTGACGGAGGAGTGGCATTTTCACCTCGCGCTTTTTTTTTAATACTTCAAAATTTCTGAACTAGGTAAATGATCTACCAATTTAAAAAACTCAGTTATTAAATTTTAAAATATCTGGCCAATCTCATCAGACTCATCAGAAAATTTCTTCTTCAATGACAGGCGTTTCCACTGTTCTTCCTTTGCTGCCAAGGTCTGGGCCTGTGTCTCCCCTTCCCTGCTGGGGATGGAATCCAGCCTCACCCGCTCCGCCTTCAGTCTGCACGGGAAAGGGGTGAGGAGGAAGGTTATCAACTGAACAGACGCGTGGCACTCACTTGGTTTTACTTATTCCGGCAAGTGTAACCCAAGGTGACTTTTTCTCCCTGCATGCGGATGAGGGATGCTACAGTTTAGATCTAGACGCCCCCAAAACCATCCTTCACTCACAAGTGGGACCTGCAGGAGAGTGGATGGCGGGGCTGACAGCTGACTTCCTGCCAGGGGCGGGGCCTGGCTGGAAGAGGCGTCACTGTGGGCGTGGCCCGGAAGGGGGCCGTGCTCCCCCAGGCTCCTCCCTTCTCTGGCTGCTTTCTATCCGGCCAACCATGGACTGAAACTTGACACAAAATAAACCTGTCCTCTTTTAAGTCGTCGGTATCGGGTATTTTGTTCCAGCAACGAGAAAGTTGCCAGACCAAGGAATTTCAGTAATAACATCTGCACGTGGTGTAAACAAATCCACCTGATGCAGCAGTCCTGACCTAAACGGAATCCCTAGGCTTGCGCTGATGGAGAAGGGTAAGAGCCCGGCACACTTCTTTGGGGAAAATGGGAATTAGGAAATGAACCATGCACCATTAACTGGTTTAACGAGGAGCCGGAAGCACCACCCTCTTGTCCCAGTTGCTCGAGATTAACCCACAGACAGAGTGACATAATTCAAACCACGTGAGCTTCGAGCTCATGCAAATTCCGGGTTTGCCTTGGATCGCTGTTTCCTGTTAGTGATAGTCCGTTCTCCCCAGCACCACGCCAAGCACTTAGCAAACCTAGCTCACTGAAAAACCCTTTGCGGCCAGTCCCGTTCATTGGCCGCTGACCTTGGACACTGTCCTCGCTTCTCCATGCCTGAGTCCATCTCTGTGCACTCCTGTAATAAGTACCTCGCACAGTTGCAGTAGGAAATAAATAAAACGATGAATAAAAGTGATTTCCACCCACTCGGAGCTCTTTAAATCATTTTCTTATCCTTATGAGGGAAGTAGTCCAGAAGGCGGAGTAAATGCAATGATTTACATTTAAAGCCTTCAGCAGTTCTAAAGTCTTAGATAATTCCCTGTGTTTTTAAAAGCTGTGTTTGTCTTCCTGGTAACCTGTCTCTGTTCTCCTGTAGTTTGATATGTTGTTTTTAAAAAATCCTTTAACGTGAGAGAGGATCCCTGTGGGTTGCTCAGCAGCTGAGTGGCCCCAGCCTGCTCCTCTGAGGATTCTGGGAGACTCCGATGGAGTCCAGGCTGCGGGAACACGCGGGTGAGCGGCCAGGAGAGAGTAAGGGAGGAAGGGGCACCGGTGACACAGCCTGGGTGTCTGGAGCTGGCTGAATCCCAGCCACCAAGGTAAGCAAGCTGGTTCTCTCAGGTTCGTTTCTGGAAGAAAAACTCTGTAACATTCGCCATTTTACAGGTTGAGAAGGAGGCTTGGAGGAAGAGTGTAGGGTTTTCAGGGGTCCTGAAAAAGCTGCCCTGTACCTCTGAGACGTCTGTCCCGGCCATCCTGCTCTGGTGAACACCAGGGCAGCCTGCTGGCTTGCACACCCACGGGACACACACGCATGCACACACGCATGCACGCACGCACAGGGTCCCGGGGCCCAGCCCTTCTCCACCCCACACAGGTGGGAGCTGCTCAGAACCACAGTTTCCTGAGCCCCTCAAAACCAAATTCGGGGCCTGCTTTGGAAGGACGCAGAGGGAGCACACGAAGTGGAGATTGCACAAAATCTCTCCTCTGAACACCTGTGAGGCAGCAGCAGGGAAACGCCTGGGAAAATCACCCGTAGCTGGGTTTCAGAGGAACCACTGACACAGCGATCTTCATTTCTTTAAACGCTCAAGTTACTTGGCACAAATGAGTCTTAAGTAGAGAGCCATTTTCAAATTTTACGTAAATCCTGAACTAGTTAAAAAATAATAAAGACCCTTAAAGAAGCAGTCAGTAGACTGTGGGATGACGGCAGGAAATTAGCTGTATTGTTGAGGAACAGATGGTTTACATTACACAAACCCTTTAGGCTAAACTTGTTTAGGTCTGGCATATTGTAAATTATATTTTAGTAACGAAAGTGAAATGACCTCCCCTTGACCCCAAGCGGGGTCTGTCTGCTTGAGCCGGTGTAGTGGGAAACTATGAAAGAAAATGAAGTCATAAAGTTTTGGCAGTTCAATTTTGGCTCATTTCAAGTTAAGGGGTTATAAATCTGTTTAGTTTTCGTTTGACAAGTGTTTGTCACACAGGGATGTACAAAATGTAAAGAAGTGTAAAATACATAGGAGGCCCGGGGCCAAAATAAACCAAGTACAAAGGAGTGCGGGAACGGGCGGACCGGGCGCCTACCTCTCTGTCACTCCTTCCATTAGCTGGTTGACAAGATGCGCCCGGTTTATTATACGCTGTGAGGCAATTAAGTACCTTAAAGCTGAACCAGGCTTTCAGGGGAAATGTTAACATTTTTACTCCTCAGCGTAAGCACACATGTGCCTCTGCATGGTTTCAGAAATCATGTCATTTTTGTTGGGGGCAGGTAGATGTGGCCATGGGAGCCGATCCACTGGGGGGGCGGCGATGGTGAGTCTTCCTTTGGGAATTCCTGGAGAGCAGCTGCGTGGGGTGGGAGCGAGCTCTGCGCTGCAGGAGGCGTAGGCCGGGCCGCAGGGAGCAAGGTGGGCCAGGTGCGAATGGCGCCCTCTTCCCACCTCTCCACCTTCAGACAGGAAAGTGGGAGCCATCAGTCTGACTTTCAGGATGGTGATGAATAAGGATGGGTAAAGAAATTCCATCTATCCGGCTCTTTGCCTTCTAGGCATCTTCCCGAAGGCGTTAAAGATGGATCCATGCACACCCATGCTTACAGCGGCACAACTCCCAGTAGCTGAATCCTGAAGTGGCTGGATGACCGGACAAACCAGAGGCGGTGTTCACACACCGCGGGGCGCCGCTCTGCCACCGAGGACGCACTCGAGTGTCTGCAGGGAACGGAGGCTCCCTGAGACCACGAGGTGCGGAGAAATCAATCGGACACAGAGCTTAGATAGCGCATGGCTTCTCTTAGGTGAGAGACCCAAAGTATAAAGAAATTAAAGAGCAGAATAAAAGCTAGATAAAGAAAACAGAACTTTCACAAAATGGAAGGGGACCAAGGAATGGAGGAAGGCGAGGGAGAGAGGATGAGAAGAAGAACGAAGATGAGTTACGTAAGCACACCAGCTCCCCGTGACGAATGCAATCATGATGTACTGCAGACTTGCACCAATAAAACAAAAAGCTGAACAGAAGAGGGCCGGCACGGCCACTCTGTCTTTGCACCTTAGGACAGTCTCAGGTGAGGGGACAGAGGGCAGGGTCCTCCTGGTGCAGACCCTCTCTGCTGAGTGCAGTTTCCTGCTCTCAGCATGAGTGATTACACGAGGGGACGAGGTGGGGACTTCATGGTGGCCTCCAGCATCTGTGCAGCACAAGGCCAGCTCTGTGAGCTTCCCCTCCACTCTGTCCTGCTGGGAAGGGCAGTTCTGCCATGTCTGGCTGGCAGCAGATGAGAAGCAGGGCCACAGGAGGGCACGCTCAGCCCGGACTGTGGGAGTGTCCATCTGTTCACGCGGGGTTGGCTCCCACGCACTGACGACCAGGCTGACCATGGCCCTTCCATCCTGGGCTGCTGCGGGAGGGACTCTGGTGTCTGCAGAAGGGAAGTCCCATGTCATGGTATCTGTCCTCGTCCCACTGAGGCACGGGCAGGCAGACCTGGCCCCTCCTCAAGTTAGAGGGGTAGGCTGAGCAGGAGGGCATCAGAGGGCCTCCTCTTTGGCAACACAGTTCTGGGCCCACGGAGCAGGCCTCAGCCCACCTGGAGGACTGGGTCGAACACGACTGCGTTTCTGCCTCTGTAGGCCCGAGGTTCCCCTGTGGGAAAGACCAGGTCTGCAGGTCAGGAAAGCCCCAGGAACAGGGAGACGGCCTTCCAGACAACCAGGACTGACCAGGATGTGTGTGAAGAACCCGGTTGAGCTATCCTCACTGACACAGGTGGAGGAAATAAATCTGCTCGAAAAGATACTTTGAAAATGCAGGTAGAAGGAAAGTACCAGGATCACTGACCAGCAATTACTGGGTTTAATTCAAGGTTCTGAAATATAAATCTTTCAGCTTGGCATGGTGGTGCCTGCCTGTACCCACAGTGACATGGGAGGCTGAGGCAGGACTACAGGCTCAAGCTGGCCCTGGGTCTGACCCCAAAGCAGGAGCACATTCTCCACTGGATCCTGCAAGGTGTCCCCCTGGCGCGGATGAGGATGACCGGGACACTCAAGGTACAGGCTGCGGTGG